AAATAGAGTAGGTCACTTTTCATTCACAAATTTGTTGGGCTGTTCGACTTTCCTGAATGTTACGGGTGTTCCGCTCAGTTGTTGGTTTCTGCGATGTCTTGCATTTACGTTTTTTTTTTCCGAGAAAGAGAATGCCTGTGACATAGGTTGCAATAATCCGGGTTGTCTTAGACCCTGTTTCTTCATGTTTTTGAAGTGTTAAAAGCGCTGGCGTGCTGAAATATAGAGCACGCAATATCAACGGCACTGCAGAACATCCCCGTAACCTAACCTTGTGCGAAGGTGAAAGGTTCAGTAACTACCAATCAGAAGTGAGCTAATGTGTATATGGGCGGGATCTGGGGGGAACTAACCATAAGGGCCACTAACAGCAGCTAGGCGGGGCTTTAAAAACAACAGAAATAATTCTACTACCAACCTCACAGTCAGACATCAACCTACCAATATCGATTCTCTTACTATGGTAATAAAAAAGTTAAGAATGTTAAAGTTAGTTGCGTATCCTTTACAGGTCGTTGCAGAACCAACCCCAGCATTTTTTAGGTGTTGTAGTTTTTCTAGTCAAATTTTACGTTCAGTAGTTTGACATCATGCAAAACATTCATTCCCACCCTATGCTACCAGTGCCAGACGTGGTCACTCACAACAAAACATCAAAGAAAATTAGTAACCATAGAAATGAGGTGTCTAAAAAAGACTGTAAGAGTGACCAGAAGAGGTAAAACCAGGAATGAGGTCATACGAGATAAGGTCGGCACAAAACCAATCCTCAGTTACATAGAAAGACAACAAATCAAATGGTTTGCCCACTTGGAGAGAATGCCAACTGATGCTATACCATACAAGGTATATACCAAAAGAGGAGAAGGACGTAGACGAAGAGGTAGACCAAGAACAATATGGAAAGATAGCATCACGCCGGCCGTCTTTACTTCCCATGCTTGTACCTTATACCCATTCAAGGTTGGGTCTACCTGGAAGTCAAGGTTATTTTTTGGTGAAAAGAAAAATCCCGCTCCATCAGGACCCGAACCCACCACCTTCTGAACAGGCGAGCGTCTAGGCGCTACACCACGGCGACTCCCCCCTTCTGAACAGGCGAGCGTCTAGGCGCTACTCCACGGCGACTGACCCCTTCTGAACAGGCGAGCGTCTAGGCGCTACACCACATCGACTCCCCTAACTATAGCAATGGATTTATTAAATCTCTAACAGAAATAGGAAGTCCTGACTCAGCTTCATCTGCAACAATTTCCACACCAGTTTTGAATCGTGTGTAAAACCCCATGTACCAGAGCAACATTGTTCCTCATTAACGTATTTCATCAATTCAACTGTCTCAAGAGTACTTCTCTTCTTCTAAAAGTCCATGCCGTGTGGCGTTAGTAGCCATGTCTATCCACAACCTTCTGCTCGAGTGCTTTCAATCAACTCTGACACAGATGATCCTCTATACCATGATGTCAAACTGTCTAGCATCTTTGCTCTCGGTCTCCCTCTGCCTCTCCTCCCCTCCAACTTTCCAATTGTCACGATGTATTCCAGTTTTCTCCTTTTCATCACATGACGTGTGAGTCAGTTTTTGTCAAGACATTCTCATTACATTTTTATCTGTCACGGGTATTCTCATTATCCTGTTTTCGCGTTTGAAACAAAATTAACACTGCACACGTAACGTACCAGCTCTCACTAGCTGAATAATATGACCGTTTACTTGGTTTCAAGTGGCAAGATTGACTGAAAACAACTGAGAAAGGGGAAGAAAAAAGATAAATGCCCCAATGGTTTAGCCACATATATTTTTTTGGGAAAAAAAGGTTGGGGGGGGGGGGGGATATCATTGACATAATCGGTGATTATAATAATCGCGTGGTAGTGGGAAACAACTACAGGGTAAAAGACCATGTCAAATAATTACCTTAATGGGACATAACTTAAGGTAAAATATTAACTAGAAATTATTTGTAGCAGTTACCTCCCCTTTAAATGTTCTTTTTATTTTGTATTAGTAACTACGTTATTGCAGAAGGCATGGTACCAGAAATGAGGAGCAGTGGCCGACCGACACGACGATCGGCACAGAATATAAGTGACTCCTTGAGTGTGAAAGTACATGAGGCGGGAGAACTGACGAAAGACCGTGTTTTTTTTCAGGCAGTCTGTTATGAGAGCGACGTTCTGCAAAGGACCTGCTGCATGATGATGATTAACTACGTTTACTTGCATCCCCCTCCTCCTCAGCAACAATAAAATCGTTCCGCTGGCGGAGATTACAGCCAGTAAACGCTACGAAGATGAAAAAGAAAAAGAAGAAGATGACGATAAAGAAGAAGACGAAGAAGAAGAAGAAGAATATTGAATGTTGAATTAAAAATCAACATCATAGCACTCTGCACACTCCCATTAGCGCTTTCCCAACTGTCAAACCCTTGCCCAACTGTCAAACCCTTGCCCAACTGTCAAACCCTTGCCCAACTGTCAAACCCTTGCCCAACTGTCAACCCCTTGTCCAACTGTCAACCCCTTCCCCAACTGCCAACCCCTTGCCCAACTGCCAACGCCTTGTCCAACTGTCAACCCCTTGCCCAACTGTCAACCCCTTGCCCAACTGTTAAACCCTTGTCCAACTGTCAACCCCTTGCCCAACTGCCAACCCCTTGCCCAACTGTCAAACCCTTGCCCAACTGTCAACCCCTTACCCAACTGCCAACACCTTGTCCAACTGTCAACCCCTTGCCCAACTGTCAAACCCTTGTCCAACTGTCAAACCATTGCCCAACTGTCAACCCCTTGTCCAACTGTCAACCCCTTGTCCAACTGTCAACCCCTTGTCCAACTGTCAAACCCTTGCCCAACTGTCAAACCCTTGCCCAACTGCCAACCTCTTGCCCAACTGCCAACCCCTTGTCCAACTGCCAACCCCTTGCCCAACTGTCAAACCCTTGCCCAACTGCCAACCCCTTGCCCAACTGCCAACCCCTTGTCCAACTGCCAACCCCTTGCCCAACTGTCAACCTGGGGTACCAGGATGCATGTTTGGTCTGGCTCTTCTTCTCAAGACGTGTCCGACATGATAAGGTCCATGGCTTTTTTTTTCTGTCGGAACGCAGTACCGTGTCGGCGTCTTTGGCTTAGGCGTTATAATAGCGCTTTGTAATGCCAGGATGCAGGGTTCAATCCCAGCTGCCGACCTTGCGCCTTGCATTGGTTTTGACAGTGGTATCGAGAAGCCGACCGTACAGAAGCAATAGCAAACTGCTAGACGTAAATGTGCCTAGAAGAATAACAGGTTAGTTGCGTATCCTTTACAGGTCGTTGCAGAACCAACAGCCCCCGGTTGTTGTGTGGTTTTTTCTAGGCAAATTTAAGTCCAGTAGGTTGCCATTGCTTTCGGGACAGTCGGCTTTCTTGATACCACTGTCGAAACCAACGCAAGGCGCATGGCCTGCAGCTGGGATCGAACCCGGCATCCCGGTATTACGAAGCGTTCGCATCGACTTAGCCACAGAGCCGACCGGACCTTATGTTTAGGCATCATTAGACTTTGTGGTTACTATAGCAACCTTTAGAAGACACTTTGCTGTGAGCGCAGGAAATCATGTTAGTACTAGTCAGGCAACTGAGAGGGATCCAGGAGACAACTTGAAGAGAGAACTGACCCGCCAGATAAACAGACAACATACAACAATCAGATCGTTCTCCAGAGTACCCCAGCTCATTGCGGCATACCAGAAAATGAGTTAGCAGACAGACTTGCTAAAAATGGAACAAAGGAGAAACAACACACCCGTCCATTGTCGTTACAAAAAAGCAGAACACTTATCAAGGGAAAATACAAGGAATTGTCGAGAGAACAAACTAACAGTAAAACATCCACAAGACCCCATCAGCAAACTCAACAAAAAGCAGCATACCATAATTTTCCGTCTATGAACAGGACACTGCAGGCTCAACTACCACATGCATAAAATATAAATTGTACAGTCCCCATAGTGTGCCTGTCAAACAGGACCACAAACACCTAAAACATTCTTCAGACCTGCCGACTCTATATACAACTTAAAAAAGACACCTGGCTTCAAGAGAAAAGTGTGCAGAGCAAGCTATGGGGAACCATGAAGGACCTGCTGCTGACATGCGAGTGCTGAGCATACGAAACCAAACGCAAAGAAACAGAAGTAACCTGCCGGCGATATATGTCAGGCAAAACATTTGGCAAGCTCTTCTTGTGCAATAATACTAATAATGGCGTCTGTAAACTACTGGATGTAACTTTGCCTAGAGAAACCACACGACAGCCGAAGGCTGCTGGGGTTGGTTCGGCAACGTCCTGTAAAGGATACCCAACTAACCAATGGCGTCTGTGGCTTAGACGTTGCGAACGCACTTTGTAATGCCAGGGTGCCGGGTTCGATTCCAGCTGCGGATCTTGCGCCTTGCGGTTGTTTCGACAGTGGTATCATGAAAGCCGACAGTAGAAAGCAATGGCAAACTACTGGACTTAAACTTGCCTAGGAAAACCACAACAGCCAAGAAATGCTAGGGTTAGTTATACGACATCCTGTAAAGGATACGCAGCTAATTAAAGAGAGAACATTGTTTCGAATTTCCGAGACCCCCGTATGAGTTCCGGGAGCCCCGTTGAAGGAAAAAACAAGAATAAACCCACTGCCTGCCCAAAAGCATGTCGTAAGAGTCCACTAATTGGGAGCTTCTTTCGAAATCGGAGCACATTTGCCTGAGAGGCGAGGAACCAACAGTCTGCTGCATGCAAATGAGTCAGAGCTGTGAAACGAATGTACACGCAACACTCAGTTTCTGGAACAGAACTAGAATCCAGAAGTACAACTAGAACTTTCTGCCGGAGTTTAAAGCCGGTGAACGCGAAGGAGAAGAAGTCGAATTTCTGAGAAATGTTTTTTATTTATGCACAAGTAACTGTCAACGACCTACTGAGCTGTCCAAAATGTCAAGCACACTTGACTGCCATTTTGACTGTGTTATGATTTGCAAGGACATTTGTTGCTTGTTGGTGGGAAGTTGTCCGTTTCGATCAAATGGACAATTCCGGCCAGAGAGCCTTGGAAACCAGAATTGTAGTCCGTGGCCACTTCGTTGTGGATGTAATCGGTTCTTCTGTCTACATACTCGTCTCCTGTGTCCGGCCCTCCCACCAGGGCCCCCACCAGGACTTGAGGGCTGGGGGCATCGATGTCTAGATTACTCTGATCACAAGGGGCCGGTCTGTGGAAGACGCATAATCAAAACGATTGAATATTTTGCAGTACAGTGGGATAGCATTAAGAGAGCTGGTCCAGGCAACCAAGGATTTGTGGAGATGTATGAGCTCCTACGCCAACTGACAGGGCACATGCTGATGTTGATGATGCTGATTGAGTACAATACAGCTAAAGTGGTTATTACCTAACAGAAGTGAGCACTGGCGTCGACAAAAAGAAAACTTTTCGGGAGGGTTTCAGCCTCTCCTCCCCCTTTAAAAAAAACAAATTCATAGGATTAGGGTTAAGCTTTGTGTAAATGTAGGATAAAAATAATAATATTAACATCAACAATAATGATATAATAATGTAAATGGCAAATACATTAATATATGCCTGCAATGGTATTAAATATATTTAAAAAATAATTAAAAAGATAAATTTTAGGGGAACTGCTAAGCTCTGGCCTTAATCATTTTAAGTAGGAAGGAGACTTGGAAAAGAGGGAGGGGGGGGGGGTGTTAGAGAGAAGAGGGTACATGGTACTAATTGTAGGCCATCTGGTGAGCCAGAGTTATAAAATATCTTCTGGATACGGACTTGAACTGCAGACCTTCCGGCGGTAGCAGAGTGTCTATTCACTATGCCAGCGTTTCTGAAACTGGGTGCCGCGAGCGTATATCAGAGGGGCCGCGGAAATAATCTAGGATTTTACAAAATCTGCTTGAGATAACCGAAGACAGCAGTTTCAAACAGCAATACCGTGAATGAAGCCGAGAAGAGTTCTGGATGCAGGTGTATGCAGAAGACAATGCTATTGCAAGACTACAGTACATTCTCAACGTAAGCTTACGCAATGAACTAAACTTTACATAAACATAAAGGAAATAATGAAAAGAATTCACCTAAACAGGTTTATAAAACCGCATTAAAAACAGCTGAATATTAATTCTGCACTGCTTCCCCCACCCTTATTTCATAAGTATTCAAACCGCTTTAAGGGTAGGTGTGCGGCGAAAGTTTGTATGCCCGACAAGAGCGCCGCGGCGAAACAAAAGTTTGAGAAACGCTGAACTATGCTATCGAGAAAAGAGTTTAAAATGAGTTCACTTACATATCAGGGCATGAAGCCGCGCGATGGTGAGGTTGAAGGGGATACTTGTCGCCGTAGCCGATCTGGAAGCTGTAGCAGCCCCCATCGTGTTTATTGTCTCCCAACATGTAGTTGATCTGTTCGATAGCCCAGCTTCGATACAGTGCTGGGGTGATGCCGGCTTCCGCTGCTATCAAAGCCAGAAAAGCGGTGTTTCCGGAGTATCTGAATTAGAGTTGGAAGTAATGTATAGGACCCTTTTCCATGGCTTTAGGCATTTTGGGCATATAGGGCTAGACCTACATTTTATAGACCTATCGGCAAAAAATAGGTGATGTGGCCGCCTTTACTCCCAAGAACTGTACCCGATACTTACTCAAGGCTGGGTCGACCTGGGGACCAAGGTCATATCTGAAAAAAGTCCGGCTCCGCCAGGGAGCGAAACCACGACCTTCCGATCCGTGGCGACTCTCTTAGAGTTGAAATAGAGAGCTTATTTAATCAGTATTTAGTCGTCGACATCATCATCATATCATAACCACCATTATTATTGTCATTTTCAAAACCACCTGTCGCATGACAGAATACACACACCTACCGCCTTGGGCAGGTCCACAGTCTGAACACCCCCAAAATCGTCATTGTAACTATGATATACGATAGGCCGACCGTAGTTATATAGTTCGTTTGTTGTGGGGGAGTCCAGATAAGAAAAATCCCTATAATTCACTCTTAGATTGATTCTTTTAGGCTTTTAGTGTCGATTTACACGTTAGGACACATTTTCTATGCCTATTTAAGATAAATTGTCTGGCCTTTTCACCGTAGACGTGAGCCGTATTCTTACACCAACTGCTGTAGTTAGGGACTGTATTTTTATGCGTGACTTCTCTATGGTCCGGTCAAAGAGGCAGACGTATTGCCTTGTTGTTGCCACTTGACCGTTAAAAAGACAAGATTCTTTATTCTCTTTCCATTTATCATGGGATTTTTGAAGATCCAGCAAGCGTCCGTGGCATTGACGTGATCTTCCACCAACCAACACCAGGGAAGCAGCTGACTTGAGTTGAACAGCCATTACCCAGTATGCTGTACTGTCCGTGAACCATATATCCACCAGTCTCTGGGGAGTGATTGTCCTTGATCTTTCTCAGAGAGATCATCAAGTGTACGGAGTTCTTCTGAGAAGTGAGACTTGGCAGATTTCCATCTTCGGGCATCCTGAGGAGCTGCAGGATCCTACCAGATAAGTCCGAGTAACACTTTGTAGCGGCTTGACTCCAGATGTGCCTTCAAAATCTGTCTCATACCTCCTGACCATGATGATCCTGGAAATGGATGTGTCTATGTAGAAAGACTCTTTCTCTAGTGTCAGATCTTCAAAGATTTGAACATTCATTTTGATTCTTTATGCTACCTTTCGTCTGCCTTGTTATAGTGAATTTATTACATGGAAGTTTTAGTTCATCAGTCTTCTTGTTCTTAGAAAAGTTTCGTCTTATTGGAATTCAGTGTCATAGTCAGAAAGGTAGTCACGTCTTGTCATATTCACTGTTGTTTACTTGTTTGACTGTGTTACGTTGTTTACCAGTCTGGGGGCAAAATAGTGATGAGGACGTCTGGCCGAGAGTGTACCCAAGTGTCATAATAACCCTGTGGAGTCAGA